TAAAGAATCCAATGGGTCTTTTCCTGGTACACCTTCAAGTTGCAGGGTATGGCCGGCCCCGACTTTCGTCCATCCAGTGCACAATGGGCCTGTACCAGGAAACGCTGTATTACTTCTAAAGAATCAAATGGGTGATTTCTTGGTACACCTTCCAGTTGCAGGGTATGGCCGGCCTTCCCCATCAAGCACACAAACCGTTCCATCCAGCGCACAATAGTTCTGTACCAAGAAACGCTGTATTACATTCAAAGAATCTAACGGGTCCTTTTTTGGTACACATGCAAGCTGCAGGGTATGGCCGGACTGATCGTCTACGAGAATTATGAAAGAGCGCTGAGCCTTTGCTTGAATTGTGAAGGCCCATTCTTTGCGGCTCAAGTCGCTGCCAGACCTTGCCGTTCCTTGCCAACAGAGTCACGTGCTGCCGCTATGGTACAAATTTTGCAAATAAGCGTGGTCAGTAAGCTACAAGCATGGCTCGCGTGACGGAAGGAGTTCGGAAAGACGGTCGTTTCTTTCCAAAACAGAGTCGCCCCCTTTGCAATCCCAAGAAGGTCGTCGGGACTTAGGGCCATCGAAATCTGCTCAAACTCAAAGCTTTCTGTCCGGTGCCAGGATGAATCTCGTTACGGCATCCCGTGACGAGAAAGAACCGTTTGCCGTCGTGCTCATCGCCTCGACCACCCCAGCGGCCTCAGCGAGCCTGCACGATACCCTAGCGGCCGGTCAAGCCGTCAGGAGTTGTGCGGCAGTCCACTTCGAAGGCCCGGCCCCCGTCTTTGGCGACATCCGGACCGTCCCGGCAGCCGTGCCGCCGCCCTTGCCGAATGCCGGGGGCGTGCGAGGAGGCCGCCCCTCTTATGCGGCCAAGCAGGGTGCCGCCGACTTTGCGATCGACTACGGACTCGCCTTCAGCTTGCGGCCTACAGGGGCCTTTGCTCGAGGCGGATTCGGCTCGACGTGCATCGGGCGCACCTGTGGCGGAAAAGGGGCGGTCTACGCTCGAGGGAGCGAACCCTTCATCTGGGAGCGGAAGCGAAACCGGGGTGGGGCACTGATTTGCCGAGGTGGAGGGGGGCACCTCCTGTGTTTGCGGTGCGTGGAGGCTCAGTACGAAGAGGGGAGCCCATTTCTTTCGAGCGCGACCGGGGGCCCTGTCCCTCAGGAAGAGCTCTTCACCAAGTACGAAGTGTTCCCCAAGACGAAAGAGCTTCATGAGGTAGTACGGTTAGGGGAGGTGGGAAGCGAGGGCGGCTACCAGTTCTTCGTCCAGAGGAGGGACCTTGCCGCCTGCCCATACTGCCGCGAATCTAAGACGGCTGCTCCGGCAAGGCACGGTGTTAAGAGGGCGCTCGAGGAGGGGCCGAGCCCACGGGAGCTCGGCACAGTGACCGTTTTGTCGGAGTTGAGGCGAAGCAAGATCCCTCCGATTGCGGTTGCCCCCGGCCTTTTCCTTTTGCCCCTGCTCGACGTCCCAAGTGGGCGCCTCCTGGACATTGCTGCCACGGATCGGGGGCTCAGTAACGTCCCCCGACTTGTGAAGGTCGACCACATGGGCAGCTTCCGGTGCCTGTGCGGTCAAAAGGCGTGCCGGGACCACGAGGTGGGGTTCCTGGAGGCGACCCGTTCCGTGAGCGGCTGGTGGCAGGGCGGGGAGGCCATCTTCACGGCCTTTGACGAGAGCCGTCCCTTCGTGCGGGAAGTCACAAGCGGCGTGCCTTGGGTGTTGCCGCTAGAACAAGGGGGGTGCGTGGGGGGTGCTCTCTTTGGGCTAGACGCGGAGGCTTGGAAAGGGGGGCCGCAACTTCGAGCGATCGTCGTGAACAACCCTGGAGAGGAGCCCGTGGTTTGCGTGCTCTGGGGAGAGAATGCGCATTGCAGCGGCGTCGACTGCACGGGTTCAGAGCGGTGCCGGCACCTCTTGAGGGTGCTCTCGAAGCAATCCGTGCCCTTGATTGAGCGCGCAGCTGATGGAGGAGGGAGCGAGGCTACGCGGACCCTTGCTGAGAGGCGGGCAGAAAGGGTTGAGCAGCGAGAAGCGGGGACAAGGAGGCTTTTGGTCTGTAACAACCCCGCGTGCCGGCGGCCGGACTCAAAAGCTGCGTGCACCCACCGAGAGGCCCTCGAGCATTGGCAGTGCCTTCCGGCTGCGGCGCTGGACATGGGCCACAGCCACAAAAGATTGACACGGTCATGAGCCGGGGTGGAGCGAATGTCACGAGCCTTTGCGAACGATGGGGCGAAGAGGGCGTTCGGCGGCGGGACAAGGCAAATCAGTTCTGCGCTCCAAGACCCGTCGAGGTGCTCTCGCCCTGCGGCCGACCATGGCAGGTGGAGAGCAAGAAGGGGGCGCTGACGACGGCTGGAGCGCGCTACGATA